GCGACGACCTCATTGATTACGACGAAACCGATAGTAAGTGAATAAAGGTCTTTAAATCTGTTTAGACATCAAAAACAATTGAGGACGAGATCTGATTAAAAACCTTCCTAGTGAATCGATTACCAAACACAGGTAGTTTACTTAACAGCCCAACACCATTACCGTCGACTGCACCAGTATCATCAGTTAAGTCTGGGAGATTTAAACCACCACCCATTAGAATCACAACAGCGAATCCAGCTGGCAACCAACGACTTCCACTCATAGCGCCCGAAGAACCTACACAAAGAGAAGTAGAAACAGAAGAGTTAGCTTTTCAGAACTCATTTGGACGAACTAGCGCTATCAATAACCATCAACATATACCTAGTAAGCTAGTTCGCACTAAGTATCCTGTGACTCTACACGAACAGATTTCTGACCTGATGGCACCAACTACTAGAAGCAGTTCCTCGCGAGCACCCAGTGTTGCAGGACCAACAGCGAATGTCGGCGATGATAATCGACGCAGCGAGCAACCCGCCATCGGCAGCAGGAAGCAGAGCACATCGACAAACACCAGCGAAAGACTTCATTCGGAACCTCTCAGCGGAGGAAACCGACTTGCTCTTGCAGCACAATCTCCACTACAAGGCTTGGGAGGCAGCAAAGAATCAACGAGACCGGCAAGCATTCAAGAAAGCGACCATCAAGGGCAAAGCGTCACATCGAGAGCTTTCCAAGAAGATGGGTTACAAGTCTTTAATGAACAGAACGAACAACTGGAACCCGGCCCTCTGGGATTGGAACACCTTCGAGCTACGAAAGAAGGGCAGACCGCAAGTATCAGGTCCTCAACTGCTTCAGAATCAGAGAAAGGGAGGCAGGAATCATCCACTTTCGAACATGACTCAGGGAGAACTGACCCTCCAGTTACTCAGGGAGGCATCGACAGTAGTGAGGAGTTAGACATGACAGTGTTGCCTTTGGACCGAGAATTGATTAACCCCATGTTCCACCATCTTAAACTGTACCTTGATCCTATTGTACTTAGCCATGACAAATTGTTACACGAAATACAAGCTATTGAGTCACTCGTTAAAAACGGGAGAACTAATAGAAGAATTGATTCAGTTCAGAAAGCAATCATGAACCTAGTAGAAAATATCAACGACCAGGTAAAGGTGTTGAACCAAGTGAGTGCTGCAGTACAACAATTGTCGCACGACGGAGCAAATTTTAAAGAAGAGTTGAGGAAATGGACAGATGACATGATGGAATATGTTGGGAAAGACCTAAGTGCTACTCGTCATAAGATGATAGAAGAGCACAAGAGACATTTAGATGAGACCAGCAGAGAAACTGCTAAAATAATTCATGCTTTGAATAACAACACGAGAACTGCTGATAATACAATCCGGGAGAGCAGTGTGAATCCTATGCAGTCAGAACTGTACAACAAAAGGACTCACGATCAAATAGCGAATATTCACGCTATGATCAAACAATTGCAAGGCACCGCGAACCGCCAGGAAGAAGAGATGGTCTTGATGAAATCACATAATGAAGAAGTAATCAAGCTTCTCTCTAACCTCACATTGGAGATGCTGAGTAAACAGCACACCAACATCCTTGAGGAAGATACGAGTCGTGTGAGTCCCCGACGTGAGACTCCACCTCATTTGAAAAGGACGCTTTCGAGAGCTCCTGGTGAGAGTAGCTATTTGATGAAATCGAAAACACCAGCACAGCAGAAGGAACAGACTGACGACGAAGATGACTGGTCCCAACCTCAGGAACCCGATGAGAAAGTCAACAAGGGTAAAAACCGGGAAATAACTGTCAAAGTTGAAGAGACCCCAGACAGCAACTTGAAAATGTACGACCTTCGTAAGAAAGAAGTCCCTCAAGTACGAGACTGGCCAAAGTTCAGTGGTACAGGAGAATATGACCACGTGACTTTTATCGAATGGGTTGACAACATTAAGAAAACCATGCATGTCCCAGATCCTCTCATTACATCGAGGATGGGACTTGCCTTTACTGGAATAGCAGAACTGTGGTTCCTAGAGAAAAGAAAGGAAAAAGAATTCACATGGGACGAGTGGAAAATAGAGATTTGTACTCAATTTGGCACGAGAGAATGGAGACGAGGCATGCAAACAGCGTTTGACAGGGACCATTTCAATTCACGAGTCCACACCGATTCCATGTCATGGCTAGTCAAACAGCGCAGAAGACTGCAGGCAGCCCAACCTGGAGCATCTAAGGAAGATGTCATAGATAAAATCCTAGACCAATGCCCTGGTAACCTAGATCATGCAGTCCGTAGCAGATTAGGAGAACAAAATGAGTTTGTCACGTTTACTAAAATTTTCGAGCAGGTCGTTAAAAGAACGACTATTGGCAGGGAAAAGCCAATGAATAAGTCAAGTCAGGATTGGAAGACCCAGGCGACTAGTGGTAGTAATACGACTACACAACCTATAGTAACCAAACCCGCAATAGTTCGTGTCCCAGGCAAATGTGACACTTGCGGCGTCACGGAGGCTGGACATGACTTTCGAGCCTGCAGACGAAAGAGCAAAGGGATCAACGTGGTTGAGCAGGAAGTACCCAACACAGAAGCACCTGTCGAGAATGAACTAGAAATCATTTTTCACGATGATGAGGACTCGTCGTATGAAGATGGCGAATATAGAGCAGTACAAGAGGAATCCTCGCAAACAGCTGACATATCGAATCTTGAGGAAACATTTGAGGTAATGGACATCTCCTGCTTAGAGGAAACTGATAAAAGACGCCCAGTCTTTATAAACAGAAGAAATATTGTCCCTAGACTGGGAAGCCCATTCTTGACTACGATGTGTAACAGCTGGAAAATGAGTATGCTCATAGATACAGGAGCGTTAACTCGCTCATATCACCGAGGATTCTGGATAAATCTGGCTTCACTGGGAGAAGGATGCGAAACTCCCAAAGGCAAAATCGTAATACTAATCCCCGGCGCGTAAATTCGCAA